TCCTTGTTCACGAGTTTCCTTTTCGCGATTGTTTTGCAGGCATATTGTTCGCCTGTTTGTTTGTGTGTGCATAGATGTGTGACGCCGAATTGTCCTCTCCCGAGCTCCTTTCCAATGGTGTAAGTCGAGCGGACGTCCTCCATTGGACGGCCTAAAACCGGCCCTATTGGGGTTGGTTTCGAAGGTTTGGGAGAGGCTGAAGGAGGCAGAGTTCTATACGGGACGGTGGGGTTATGCATGGAAGAACTAGGATTCTCTACCAGTTTGGCAATAGATTCTACTTTTATCCTTGCGTCATCTGGATCATTTGTTGTTTTGTCTTGGGAGCAACAATTCCCCATTGAACGAGGGATCAAAAGACAAGATTAAAGAAAAGAGACAGATAAAGATATGAATGTGCAGTAGGATGATGGCCCTGAGCTCAAGGGCTGGAGATCATGAAAATAATTTGGGGTTTTAAGGGGTTTAAAAGAAGAAGGTTGATTAGAGACTAGAGAGAGAAAGCCATGGCTTGCAAGAGAGAAGCATTTAGGACATCATGCATTTGGTGAGAGGTTTAGGAGAACAAAATTTTACATTTTTGTAAATTTGGTTTAATGCAAAAAATGGGTTGAAAGAATCCTAGGATTTGGGAAAATTAATAAGGGTTCAGAGGATTTCCCGGGAACAAATTACTCCTTTGGTTGGTTGGCACATGGCAGATTGAGAAAACAAATTCCATATTCATGCAAGGAAAATTTTATTTTATTTTATTTTTTGTTTCGTGGAAAGTTAATTTCACAATGTTAAAAAATGTACAAGTTAATTAAATGAAATGTACTTGGAACTTAAAAACCGGTGTCGATATTAAAAAATACGAGTACTAGATAAAAGAATATATTTAGATTGAAAAAGAAAGACGCACATTGTACATTCTCTTCAAAAAACATTATTGACTATAGATGGAAAAATCTTCGTTGCTATAATAGTGGAACTTCCCAAAAATGAAAAAAAGAACAAAACTTATCAAAATTCATAAATATTTTTTTGCATACGAATTGTATTCCTTAACCGTAAAAATGAAATTATCTCATCATAACAATAGTGAATCGGAAAGGATAATCACAAAACTTCATACATCTTGTTACAACTCTTAAGGATGTGATTGCACCAAACTTTGGAGTATCATAAATGAATCGAGAAGAGCAAAAAATACCATACACCTAATCTTAAATTTGTAGAAAAAACCTTATAGAATCAGCAAAGCATTATAACCCACTATTAGGTACCAATATAAGAAATTTATTTTTAATTTAAGGGTGGAATCACTTGTATGAGCAAGTTCAGCTTCTATAACCTCAACTAAACATGAACTGTGCTGAAAACAGAAACAAAAACATAAACATGACATGTCTAAATGCAAACTTGTGTACAATACCATTTTCAGACTTTAAAGATACTATGTTTAGGGGGTCATTTGTCCGGAATTTGGGGACGAGTACGCCTCATTGAGCCTAATTCTTGACTGGGATTTTTTTCCTTCCCTTTTGGCGTCTGTTCAGTATGTCTCCCTTCATCCGTGCCTTTAACAGAGCTGTATTCAGCCACTGTTTCTATGGATGATGTTACTAAATTAGATCTGGGCGAACTGAGTAAGTACCCTAGCTTCATCAGACATGTTAGAGTACTATGTTAAAACCGTGAAAATCCGGAGACAAGTTTACCAAACAAGCATGAACTGGTAGAACAGTTTTAAGGGGAGATCTTAAACTTACACTCCGGAAATAAAGCATAAGGGGGTCTCATTAAATCTATAAAGCAGGTTTCCATCTGGACTGCATTAGCAGAACTAGATAATAAATTCATGCTGACCAGAAAAATCAATTCTGATAGGAAAAGGAGCATCTTCTGTTCTTCATATACACATTATCAGTGCAGTTAAATGAGTGCATTTACACGTGCACGCAAACACATTCAGAGAGAGAGAGAGAGATTACTCCAGAGCTTGGATCATCAAATGGGTAAGGATTGTCCAGAAGTTCTCGAGAGGGGGCTTTTGAAGATTCTGATTGCTAGTGCTGTTGCTCTTTCATCATCTTCACAGTTCAAATTGACGCCCCACTTAAAACAACAGTGAACTATCTTATTCCAATAAATTTGATTCTTCGTAAATAAATCATCTTACCCTATTCCATTCAGTTCTCTGTCACCTCTAAGAGAAAATTCAATGTAATTAGATCCAAGCCGCTTCCAAATTGAAAATTTACGGTGATATGCTAAATATTTGTTTGTCCATCCTGTCACTTTACGAATATGCATCGTTCATTACCATGCATACTACCAAATTCAGGACATAGATAAATAGCCTTCAGCACTTCTGCTTCAGTATTACTGAAAATGCTTATGAATGAAACTTGGGAAGAACCTTTTGGAGTTTCATTAACAACTCATCACATGCAACACCACCATTTTTCCAATCCTCTTGGGAAAATTTTGGTAGAAGCTCCACAACGTCTTGATCGTCAGAAATATCACACAGACACGTCATGATAGTTGAAGTGATTTTAGAGTCAAGAACAACACCCTCAGATCCCATTTTCCGAAGTAAGCCAATCATCTCTTCTGTTTGACCCTGTACGCTAAACCCCTTCAGCAATGAATCATAAACAGAGATGTCAGGTGAGAATCCACATGCAGTCATTCTCTCAAACGTGCTTTTAGCCTCTTCCATCAGTCCTAATTTTGATAACCTATTAATCAACATTGAAAAGGTAAAAGCATCAGGATTCAATCCCCTTCGATTCATATGGTTAAGTAACTCATTGGCATACTGCATGTTCCCAGCCTTTATTGATGAATCGACTATGATATTATACGAGATAACATCTGGTTGAATGCTTCCATCAACCATCTCTTTAAACAACCTCTTTGCTTGCTCAAAACTACCCTCTTTGCACAAGGTCGCCATCAATGTATTGTAGTCAGGCAGTGTAGGAGTAAGACCTAAGGATCTCATTTTACTAAACAACCCTTTCGCAATGTTTATGATGTTATGTTTGCAAAATCCATCAATCATAACACTGTAAGTCCGTGAATCAGGAATAAGGCCCAATTGTAAAACCTCCTTCCACAGTTCCATACCTTTTTCAACATTTCCTTCCTTTAGATAAGCTCCAATTAGTGCAGTATATGTCACCACGTCACCAACTTTCTTATGCTCAACCATCTCGCTATTAATTCTTGCAGCCTCGTCAAGACGGCCTTCTCTACACAGACCTCGGATCAACATGCTGATCGTCCAAGCATCTGGGTCAACATAATTCTTGTTTGACAGCATCAAATCAAAGAGTTTCAGAGCATCGTTAACGTTCCCAATGTCACAAAGTCCCCTCAGAATCATATTGTAAGTAACCACATCAGGCTTTTTGCCCTTCTCGACCATCATTTCAAGAATCTTGAAAGCATCACTTAGCAATCCTTCCTTGCATAATCCATTAATTAGAATGTTATATGTAATGTTATTAGGCTCTTCTCTCTTTTCCAGCATGAAATTAAACAGCTCCAACGCTTTTGCAATCTTCCCATCCTTGCAAAGCCCACTAATCATACCTGTGAAGGTAACAACATCGGGACGTATTCCACGCTCCAACATAGTGTTAAACAAACCCTTGGCTTCTTTCAATTTTCCCATCTTACAAAGACCATTCATCAAACACGTATATGTAACTTCATTCGGAGAGATTTCCTTTCCCAACATCTCGTTCAAAAGTCCCTTCGCTCTATCAACATCTCCATTAATGCAGAGTCCATTTATAAGTGTGTTATAGATATAAAGATCCGGCTCCAACTGCTTCATTCTCATCTCCTCCAACAATCTCATCGCTTCATCAGTCCGACCCTTCAAACAGAGACCATCCATCAAAATGTTATAAGTAACCACGTTAGGAACGCAATAAGCACGCTCCATCTGACTCCTCATATCTATAGCTTCATCCAGATTTCTCACCGTGCACAATCCCTTTATCAGAGTATTAAAACTAACTACATCTGGCAGCACAGAATTTCTTCCCATTTCATCCAAGAATTCCACAGCCCTAACAAATTTGCCTTTATAACACAAACTCTTCAATACAAGATTTGCAACATACACATTAATGCTAAACCCACTTTTCAAAATTATACCAGGCACAGCAAGTGCTAATTCCGGTATGTTGAAATGCACAAAACACTCAACCAAAGAGGATAATGACAGAAAACTCGGTGAAACTCCAACCCAAGTCATTTTCCTGTAAACACTGTAAGACATTTTGTATTCTTTGTTCTTGGCAAGAATTTGAACGAGAAAATTGCACGTGTGTCTCGAAGGAACGAGACCCATATCCCCAACTTGATCGAAAAGCGCAAGGGCTTTATTAAACTGGGTTCTGGTGTGGGGTTTTTCACCTAGAGATTTTATTTGGATTTCTACTGCGTGTAAATCATTGGGAATGAAATCAGGTAGGGAGTTTGTACTTGAGACAGTAGATAAAAGATTGGTAAAGATAATATTTTGATGCAAATACGGATATAAAAAAAGTTTTTTTCTAATCATTGTTGCTGTTGAAATTTGTAATTCAATTTCTTGTTCTGTTTTCGTCTTCGAAGATTTAAGTTGTGTGGGTTAAATCAAAACGTTCAAATTCTATGTGTATACATACAGACATGTATACATAGGCGGTGATGAATGTTAACACGGAAAGCAATGGCCGTTTTACCTGGCAAAGGAGAGGGACGGCAAGCGGTGGCGGCGGCCGGTTTGAGTAAGGTGGAAGGGGAGGGCAGCACTGGCAATGCTTTCCAGTTGATATCGTGCTTTTCAAAGCTGCGACTTTTAAATCGCTAATTTTGTGTAAAATTTGTTTGAATTAACCAATTTTTGTATTGTATTGTATTGTATTGTTTTAGTCAAAGGGGTTAAAAAAAAGGGGGCCTTTCTTTCATATATATTTTAATGAAAAATACTTTCTTTATTGTTGTTAGCCTTTGACATTAGGTTGGTAGAAAAATTATCCCCATTTTGATACCAATTAAAATCTAAATTTTAATATAAATCAAAGTCAATAATTCATTTCAACTACAAATTTTATAGGTCCCACAATTTTTCAACCACATATTTCATCTCCTTTTATCAAAATATACTAAAATTTAATTTTAATCTTCACCAAACAGGAACTTAGTAATCCATTACCCAAAAATTTTGTTCTCATACTTGTTTGTTTTTTATAGTGCAATATAAATCCAGATTATTTTCGTTCTTTGTTCTTTCTTAAACCCTCATATACCAAGCAATATTGAACGAGTGAAGAAATACAATGTTGCTTATGAGCACAATCTTGACTAAATTTAACGAAGAAGTCTTATCTGACACACAACAATACATTTAATAATTTGAAATAAAATAAACTAATAATCATTTCAAATATTTTTTATTTATGATATCTTATTCAATCCTACAATGGGACTTACAACATACCTTAGAATGTGACATGGAATGGAGGAAAAAAAATAATAAAAGAAAACAAAAATCTTTCAACTTTTAAAAGTCGTATCTCTCTCCTCATTTTCAACTGCCCACAGTGAAGACGTGTCTCTCCCCTTGTTTTCCCCCTTTTGCAAACCCTCTAAACCAACGACGACGTTGTTCGACGATAGCTTGAAATTTGAGCCAGCATCTCACTGGACGCTGACTACTAAGCTTTACCTCTGACACTCTCTTCCATTCCGACCGATTGTCCATATTTGATCACTCGACAACGCCATCGCTATCACAACAGTTCGGCCATCGCAAAACAAGGAAGACCCACCTCAGCCGGCCATCAAATCGTACTTCATACACGGGATTACAAATAGGAAGGCAAGTATGTGGTTTAATTATTGATTTATCTACAGTAGCGAGATTGATTGTGGACGGTTCGTTCTTCAAGTTTTTTGTTTTGTTTTTTTTTTGTCTTTTCTAATGTTATTGATGCATCATCTATGGAATTTGTTGAAATCTCAGTCCAAAACGTTACATTTGTGTTAAGTATGTGAGATTGCTTGTTTCTCTTTTCTTTCTTTTCATTTTTTTTGGTTGGGGTGGATAGGGAACGAGGTTACAATATTGGACTTCTGTTGTTCTTTCGGTGGTTGTACTGATATAGCCCTTAATGGACTATTCTATAGTTTATAATCCTTTCTTTATTTTCATAGTAATGGTGTTTTTCTTCATAATTACCATTCAATTAAGGCGTCCTATAGGTTCGATATAGAGTTTGTTTTGGCAATGATTATAAGCCAATGTGTTTCTTCATTTTTCCCCCCTCTCTGGTGGGGTGGGGGGAAAGAGATGTGGTAGAATTCTGCAATTTTAACTATTAGTTTAGGCTCCGTTTGGTAGCCATTTTTTTTCAAAATGCATTTTTCTCTCTCTTCTTTTTAATCACATATTCTTTATTAAAATAATATTACACATAAATCAAAAACTTTTCCTTATTTCTCAACCACACATTTAACATCAATTTACCCCCCCCCCCCAACAAATAACAACCAAAATTTCCCCCCCCCCCCCCAACTAATAACATTGTTTAAAGGCCCTTGAATTGAAAGAAACATTTCATTTATTCAATGAATCTATTTATGGTTTTCTGAATGTGTGACAGATTACTACTAGTTAGCCTTTATATATGGAATTCCACATATTCACGTATTTATGGTCAAGAGAGCACTAATTCCTGTCGTGTTTACTTTCTTTCATGATGGAGTCATCAAAATAACTTAATTATTTAAAAAAATAAATTCACAAAATGAGTTTTTCACACAAATCATCGGATTGGAAATTGATTGATGCAGTGAGCTTGAAGCACAAATATCATCAGACTTTCTTGCATGTTGAAATGTTCATGTCTGATTCTTGAAAATTTAAAAATTCTTTCTAGTTGCAAAACGTATGATCTGTTTCAACGATGTCTATTTGAAAGTGGTATGCTTTGGCTCTTTGCAGTGAAAAGGTTGTTCGGTTTTCATTTGTTATGGTATTCTAAATCATAATTTTCTCTGTCATTGTGTTCTCAGAATAGGTGGGAAGAATTCTGGAGTATGTTATAGGTGCCGGAGCAAGGGACACTTCTTCATCGATTGTCCAATAAGACGTCAGCATTACTGAGGGTGAAGAAATGGAAGGAAACACCTAATGATATGGCCCGCATGTTCCAATCTCAAGTAAGACTGAACGACGAAGAATAAATATGTATTTCTGTGAATGTTACGATCCATAAGGGAAAAGGCATCGCGAACGCAAACGCAAAAGGGAAAGAGTCGGATTGAGCATTGTTTAATGTTTGACTAGCTATAGGGGATTTCGTGTGTGTATTAAGTGAATGAACCACTTTCGTTTGTATAATAATTTGCAACTCCATACAATGGTGTTTATTAATCGATGCCTATTTCCATGAAATCATCATATTCATCACACAACCGTATGCTAAATAACTAATAAATTAAAACATTTATGATAATCGAGTCATTAAAATGTAGTTGATAAAAATGTGGTCAATACGCACATTACAGAAGACCTAGCAAAGAAATATCGATGTAATACTAATGAATTGAAATGACTTGACATTAGTTTAACCAAAGTGGCTAACACTTCCACAGAATTCCTATGCTTTTAACCGAAAAAGTAAGCATACATTCCTCTGCTTAATGTTTCATTGAATAGAATCCTTGTCTACATATGTTGAATCTAGGAAAGCTACCAGAAACTGGCTAATCATAAAATCTTGCAAAAGCTCATCAAAATCCAGGAAAGTAACAGAAAGCAACTGGCTAGAGTTAATGCTAGGTGCACAAAACCTCTCCCTACCACTGGGCTGTATAAAGAATATACTACAATTATTAGTCCAAGCACAATTGCCTTCACAAAATAAATTAAACATGTAGTCCTTAACTGCCATCATTGGGTGACATTTATTACAATTAACTTCTCGTAATCAAATTATTTCGAATTTGGATTTCGACATAGAATAAGCATATCTATAATATACGACCTTTTGACGTCCCGTCACAAGCTTGTGCCCCTTGCATTACGGGCATGTGGATAGTAGTTGTAAACTACGTTATCTAACATCCAAAACCATACATTATTATGTGCAAATAAAAAAAACAAGTTCGAATAGCCAATTAGGATGAGGATTTACCATCAGAATTTAACATAACGTGTGTCGTACCCAACTTGGTCGTACTGGGCGATGGTATGTGTGGTGCAAATGCAAAACTTTCCTCACCGCCCTACATAAAGTACCAACATACATAACACATCCAACTCGAAAAAAGTTATGAAATACATTTACGTACCAAGAATTGGTGTGAATACAATGATGATGTTGGCGTGGCATGTTGTTGTTCTTCAGATGCCCGAACACTTGGTGCATCATGAGCTAAGTTATTTTGTCTTTTGCATGCAGTTGACGACATCTGTGAGAAAACTCGAAAAAAATGATAATTACTAGTTTATTTTTAAGGTCGCCAACAAATGAAATAATATATCTACCTTTGTTTTCTTCGAACGCGTCTCCAACGGGTTTTTCTTTCGAAGTTTCTTTGGCGCGCCCATTTTCTTTGATTGTTTAGGATCTCCTATGCTCCCGCCAATAGTATTTTGCGATCTAGTACCTTGTGAGGGTAACTGAAAAGTGTGGTGTGATAAGATATTACTACCACTACTTGGGGATGGCATCATAAGCTCTTTCTTTATCACTTCAATCCAATCCATTACCGTAGTAACCGCACGTGAGCGGACTTCATCGTTTGCTGCAAGGTTAGCAACCGAGAAGAACGCTTGACACATATTGTCGTACCTCAATTGCCCAGGAGTACTTACCAAACCAGTGTAATTAACTGGTACCCTCGTATGTGCTCTATTTACGTCTCTCCTCCATCTCCTCAGTATGTAGCGGCTCAATAGTACGATAACATCATTACGAATCAAAACTACGATCGTGTGTCTGCAAATTATTCTCCGAAATTCGAACAAGTGGTAGCTGCAAGTAATGTCACACGTCTCTTTTCGAAGGACTACCCAAAATGTCTTTTTGGTTCGACGATCGCCACACACAATGTCTTCTCGTACTTCATACATCATCCCAAAATGTCCCTGCGAAGCGGATATAAGTTCACAGTACACTTTTTCCGTAAACTCAGCTTGAACTTCTCGAATTTTGGAAATGGTGTAGACTGACTAAAATTGCTTCTCCATTTCATATGTTGTAGCACATGGAGGTAATTTCTTCAAAATATGCCATAAACACTATCTGTGTTTTGTATGTGGAAAAACAACCTCAATTGCATTTTGCATAGCCCTGTCCAAATCGGTAATTATTCCATGCGGAGGTTGACCATGCATACATTGAAGCCATGTCCTGAACAGCCACACAAAAGTGTCCGTGTCCTCATTCGATATCAAATCACACCCAAGCAGTGTTGATTGACAGTGATGATTTACACCAACAAAAGGGACAAAGGGCATGTAGTACTTATTAGTGAGGTAAGTGGTATCGAAAGTAACAACATCCCCAAACTCCCTATATGTTTGCCTACATCGATAGTCCGCCCAAAACACATTCTTCAACCATGATTCGTCGTCCAAATCAATACTAAAGTAAAAGCCCGAGCATCGCGCTTGCATTTTTGCGGCATCTCCTTCTCTAAGTCTTAGTCGCCGCACTTGTTTAATATAATTTCGACAGTCCTTTTCCACGCATGTCAAGTTCTCATACCCACCCGCTTCAACAACGGCAGAGTTAAAACTTTTGTGCAATGGAATTCTTGTCGTATCATTAACTTCAAGCCTCCCTTCACCTGTGCACTCAATTCTTTGTTATAGCGATACAATCTGGACTTTGAAGGACTGGTTTTATGATTATGCTCGAGGTGGACTGTATTTAATCTCTAGGTACCAAGTACATCGAAGATGTAAAGATCATCGCTTTACAATCAGTCTGAATTGTTGGTTGAGGCTTCAAAGAACCGCTTGTAGTACTACTTCGTCGACCTTCACGACTACATGTCAAGGTCACATATCTCAAAATCCCGTCGCCGTCTTTTTTCGAATTTCATTTCCAAATTGGGAAACCAACGGCATAACCATATCTTTTATAAAAGTCGAAGAATTCTGTTTCATCTTTGAATTTCATACCAACTACAGGCACTATCAGATAATCTCCTCCAATGTTTTTGTCGTCTAGAACGATCATGTTTTCCTCCACATTCTCATTATCGGATTCCACCATGCCTTTTGCCTCTGGAAAGGAAAATATTAAACACGTCACTTTCTACTATATGAGTATGTATACAAATCAAAAACACTGAAGTAAAAACATTTTAACAGTTTCATGAAAATTAATGTAATTGCGTGAAGCCCAACTATTCCATGCATGGCTCAAAGTCCAGTCGAAAATTATCTGTATGACATTTTATTAATTGACAATTTCAATATCATTAGCAGCTACATACTTAGCAAAGACGAAAACCAATGATGAACTACAGGTTTGGAAAAATTATCTATGCGAATAAAGATGAAAACCTACCACGAACACCACTGCTTTGCTTCTAAATCAATGTCCAACTCACGGTCCAGAACCAGGGGAACCTGCTCATTACCAAAACAAAGATAAATCAAAGGCTTGTTCATCATATCGATCACCTTCAAAGAAATATCACACAGGTAGAATTCGTTTTGAATGCTTCAATAAATCATAGCATGGACCCGGTTACACTTTGGAAATTTCTCTATAAAAATGCGTCTCTGAATCACATCAGTTCAAACTTGGAAAAATTATCTATAAAATTACTCAAACACTTTTGGTTTGAAAAATGTAATATTCACACTCGAAGAGACGTGAAAAGTGCCGTCGAGAAAGATTGTGTAATGAACCCGGTTACATTTTGAAATTTTGTCGACCACAGTGTCGACTTCAGGAGTTGGGATTTCACCAAGTGACGCCGACTTCAAGAGTAGGGAAATTTGCCGACTATAGTCGTCGGCTTCAATAAATCGTATTTGTGAAGTTTCTCGATCACAGTGGTTTGGATTTCACCGTTGTATGTCTAGAACTTAATGTTGTATGTCTCGGTGCATTTTCGTGAAAAAGGGGAAAACGTGTCTCTAAATTTGGGCCAAAATGGTTGAAGTAGCTGGTTCTGGCGTGAAGAAGCGGGTGACGCGGTTCCCAACGTCTATTTCTCTCCTTTTTACTTTCTCGTTTCCTTTTTCTTTTTTTTTTTTTTTTGCCCGATAACCCTTTTTTTCCCGCTTGACAACTCAGCCTTTTTTGAAATTCTGTAATATAAATTGTGAACAAACCATTGTACAAACAACAATTTTCTATCTTATTAGACGCAAACGCTATATAGAAAAGTTACATAAATATTTCATAAGTTTAATGTTCAGAAGTTCAAAAATGTAACTACATTGAAAAATTAGAAAAAAAGTAGAATGGGACGTGATGAGATGAGATAACGTCATTTTGCTTTCTTTACAAATCTAGAAATTTAGGAGGCGGCGGCTGAATTGTGATTAACGGACATGTTATCATCGGACATCAACACACTCCCAAACCATATCGAAGATATCACGTGGCGTATTTTCTTTTAGGCCCTGTTTGATTGTTGGAAATTTTCCATGGAAAATGGAAAATCAAACCCATTTTCCATCTTTTTACTATGTGATATCCCTTTTTTTTCCCCAATGAATTTATTTTCTTTGTTGTCTCAGGAAGTAATTCCAAGTTTTCCAGGAATTTTATTTTTTTTTCAATTTTTTTTGTTAGTAATGGAAATAAATTTTAAGAATTATTATAAAAAAATATTTTCCTTTAATTGATAATTTTCATGTAAAACAAAGTCAAACGAACACCAAAAGATAAATAATTTTATTGAATTTTTTTTGTTGGCAATGGAAATAAATTTTATCCTCAATACCAGTAAATTTTATCCCTTTAATTGACAATTTTCATTAAAAAAAGTCAAACAAACACCAAAACATACTTTTATTTCAATATTTTTCACGTGAAAAATTATACTAATCAAATATAATAATTTACAATTTTTAGGAAAATAAATTTTATATAGTTCAATTTCTTAAAATTCATTTTTTTCACCCAAGTTTTATCTTCACAATCAAATGGATTTAGAGTCGAGGAGTTTATAAAATTTGTCCCTATTAAGTACTCTATAAGTCAAGCTCGCAGAATATTATTATTATTATTATTTTTAAACTCCCAAGGTATATACATTGGGACCCTGCCCTTCCCACCTTTTGAACAGGTTTGAATTGAATTCTCTTTTCCATATACACAACACAATTATGGCAGTAATCACAGCAATCAATTTGGTGAGTCAGTCACGCTCAAAAGTAGGTGAAAAGCAACAGAAAAACTATTACACTACCTCTCCACCGAATCCCCGCACCCACTTCACCTACTAGCATAAAAAAGTAACACAGAGAGTGAAAACGGCAGCTATGGTTTGTCGCTGATTGGTGATCTGGGGTTTGCCTTCTGAGTCGAGTCGACTGAGTGCCAGCTGAGATGTTAACTCATCAGTGAAACGCAAAATGTCTGTTTCTCTTGCCGCACTCGACCGTCCCCGGATTGGAAGTTCAAATACGGTGACTTCAGGATGAAAACTTACAGCATTTTATATTTTTTTCCCCCAAGTTATTAGTTGGGTTTTTTTATTTTATTTAGGTGTGGTTGAAGAAAGAAAATGTGAGAATCTTTCAAGTCAAATTTTGTCAATGCATTTAATTTCAAGTGTTTATTTTGATATTTTAAAGTTTAGTTTGAGAATCTTTGTGATTTTTCGAAACACCTCTTGAAATTTTAATTCTGCGTGTTCATATTTCTGGGTTGTATGGTTCTTGATGATTTTGATTTGTGAAAATTTGCAGATTGTCAAGAGCGGTCATCTTCGTATATCTTCCAAAGGTAGGTGCTTTTGGATTTGCAGATATAATTATTTATTTATTTTTTATTTTTTAAATTTAAAGCATGTTTGGCTAAGCTTAAAAAGATTACTTGTAAAAGGATAAGTAAGCTGTGAAATAATTAATTTTTTTATTGATTGAAAGTAGAAATAAGTAATTACTCATGTTGAGAGTAAGAGATACTTTTAAAATAAGTAACATTACTTAGCCTCTGTTTGGATAAATTATAAATGATTTATAATTAGTAAATTTCATTTTTCAATCACACGCTTCAATGGACACTAACACTTTAACCACACATTCCATTTATAAATCATCTACTATTTATCCAAACCGAGCATTTATTATTATTTTTTTAAAACTTATTTTCAAGCTTAGCCAACTGTGCATGCATAGATATCTTACTCGAGTGTATGCAGGTGTGGCACATTGGCTTGATGGCTAATTCTTGGAGTCTGATACAATTTTAGTTCACGTGGCCTGACAATTAACATGCTAGTCTAATTTTATTACATTGATAATATACCTAGGAACTTTTCAATTCATTCCAGCACTGTGCCATATGGTGTTAATGAACCCTCGACAATTAATTCTCAGGTTCAGTTAGACTTTTGTACATGTGGTGTCAGTATAGCGTGGGTGTCTAATTCTTCTTTTACAGTAACTGTATATGAGAGCTAATGACTAATTATAAACATACTGTGTCTTTTGGCCGAAATAAGTATGTCATATGTGTGATGTATGATGCTACTTGGGGATCCAGAATCCGAACTGGAGAAGATTCCATTGAAGTTTGGTTGATTTTTCACAGATTCAAAATTCAGAGGTGCCCTTTTCGTGCCGTCAAATGTAGCCTCATCATTATCAGAAGATGAGCTTATCTCCATAATCCAATATGCACTTACGGTATAGGTCAAAGATTTAAGTTCACATGCTCTAAATTTGAGAACCTCAGGAATAATATGATCATCAAATTCTAAGTTATGTGAATCTTTATTGTGCATATATACATAACTTTTTCACCTGACATTCTTAAACTAGAGCTTCTGAAGGGTTGCCATTATTTTAATATGTAGAAATTTGAGTGGATTGTATGTGGTCAAGGGATTGAGGGGACACCGAGTATAGGGGCAGCAAACACTTAATGAAAAACCAACCTATCTTTTTTATGGTATTTGACTATTTATTAACACTGTTGCCTCATTCTTCATGAGATCCAGGGAGCATCTTGTTTTAACCCACACTTGTAAGTAAAGGCTTGTAAAGCCTATTGTAATGGATTTATGCAGTAGTAAGGATGTCAGGCCAATTTGCAAAATGATGCAAAACTAGATAATAGACTTTATTTAGTTACGAATTGTCATTTTAAATGGCATGCATTAGTTACAAGTTACGACAGACTCAAAATAATGAAGTGTCTCCTCCATCTGTTATGTTGACATAGAAGAATGAAACATTGGGCCATTCTTACATTTCTCTAATTGGTCTCACCGTGTTTATTGACTATATTAAACTTCTTGCAGGGTTAGGGTGGAAATCTTGGAAGAAGCGCTGGTTCATCCTTACACGCACTTCTTTGGTTTTCTTCAAGAACGATCCTGTTAGTGTCAGCTCAAATCTTAGATAATCATTCATTGATACATTGATACAAAAAATTGACACTAACTTCTCATGTCATGTTATGCAATGTGACATTTGTGGGGGTAGTCTAATGCCTATTTCATTGCATATACTTCAGTTCTTGTATTTGAATAAAACTGACGACCTTTTTTTTTAATATGCGTAGAATTCACTTCCTCAACGAGCAGGTGATGTAAATTTGACTTTGGGTGGTATTGATATAAATAACTCTGGAAGGTATGATTAATTGAAAGAAGAAAGTACTCTCTTTCTGTGTATGTGAATGGCCGCATGTGTATGCTGCATGTTTGCATTTCTCCTCCCATATTGTAATATCCTCTTGTACGCAGTGTTTTTGTTAGAGAAGATAAGAAGCTGTTAACTGTATTGTTTCCTGATGGACGCGATGGACGGGCATTTACACTTAAGGTGCTCAAAAGGCTGGATGTGCTCTCTCTCTCTCTCTCTAGATTATATATATATATATAAATGCATCTTCACGGTTGTATATGCATGCGCACATACATTCTTTTTTTCTTTCTGTCTCTGTTTGTGACACCAATGACAGTTCTCGTATTTAGTTTATAGGGAGTTAGCAGCTCTTTCTTATCTGTTTCTGAATTTTAAAATTTAGGCAGAGACATCAGAGGACCTGTATGAGTGGAAGACAGCCCTTGAACACGCTCTTGCACAAGCTCCAAGTGCTGCTCTTGTGATGGGTAACAATGGAACATTTCCGAGTGACACTAGTGATACTACTGAAGGGACTTTCCATCAATGTTTGTAAATGCTTATTATATTTGTTGTTCTGCTTCTTATTTCATATGCATGAGTTCTCGAGCGGTTTCTTTTTGATATAGGGAAGGATAACTGCCCAGTTAAGTCTCTGGTTGTTGGATGCCCAATTTTGCTTGCTCTTGAAGATATAGATGGAGGCCCGTCCTTTCTCGAAAAAGCACTTCAGTTTCTTGAGAAGCATGGTAAGTTTTCATACTAGAACATGAATTCCTGTCTGGAGCATCAAGTTGAAATGGTTTCTCACGAGGCTTGAAGCTATTGTAATGACCAACCGTATTAATTTCTTTTGACGTCAGTTTCCCAACTGCTTACCAGGTGTCTAGTTATTAGTCTGTTTACGCTGACATTGCAGTTTAACATTATTACCGCAAGTGGTTAATGAGAGTCACATTACACGTTGTGCTGGTTATCTTCCACAGAAAATGAAGAAGAAAAGGAAATTGGATTCAGTTATTTTTATTACAAGTTCTATTTCTGAGCATGTTTTCAATTATTACTTTTTAGTTACTCCCTACATTTTTCATTCTATGCAAGCTCTTCAGTTTATAAAATCTTTCGCAGGAATTAAAGTAGAAGGAATTCTGCGTCAGTCTGCTGATGTTGAGGAAGTTGATTGGAGAATTCAAGAATATGAAAAGGGTAACTACATTTTTTTTTTCCAATTAAAATATTGATTGCACTTGTCTAGATACATCCTCGAAAATAATTATTCTTGTATGTTTATATGATAGGTAATTTCAGTTTATGGTCAGTAATGGTTTTGGGGCAATTTAGTTTTCCCTTTAGATTTAGGTTTTCTTCACAGAATCAGAATGATGGGGAGAAATCTGAACTCATCTTGATGAAGTGCTAGATGTGATATTAGTTAGGAAATGGGACCATGTCTTTTAAATTTCTTCACAGAATGATTCAGAAATTTTTTTATCACTGGGTGGAGTAGAAGATGTGATTTATATTAGCAAAGGAGCCCATTCAATAAAATACTTAAAAAGGTAGAGGAGTGTAGCTTTTCTAAATTTAGCATGTTAAATAAATTCCACCTCTTCCTTTCATCCAAATGCAAGTTGAACTTCGACTATCTAAAATTAGTTCTTTTGCAGTTATTCTCACCTACACTAGCTTTCTGAACACTCCCACTTATTGAATTATCGCATGCTTGTTCATGTAGCGGCATCATTTTATTTCACACACCGAGGGATAAAACTGAAAATCTACATAAAATAGACATGCTGACCCAAACTAAATAACTTTACTAGGTCCACCTGGAACATTCAGTTTTCGGAGGAGTGTGAAATATTACTTACGCTGAATTAGGGATCTTTCCATAGCATGAATTTATATTATCACTTAAGTTAAATGAAAAAACATGTGATTTGTCCTTTTTATGTTCTTGAATATAGTGTTCCAAATGACATTGTAACTAATAGGAGCTCTGCTTTTTTGTAGGCAAGATTGAATTTGGCCCAGATGAGGATGCTCATGTTATAGGCGACTGTGTCAAGGTTTGGACTGGTCATACTCAGTAGTTCTATTTTGGCTTTTCATTAATTTATATTTCAGTGAAGCTACCTCTCATGCAGTATGTTCTTCGAGAGCTGCCTTCATCTCCTGTTCCTGCATCCTGTTGCAGTGCTTTACTGGAGGCATATAGTAAGTTCCTCTCACTTTGTGGACACTGTGTTTGAACCATCTTTGAATCTAGTGTGCCTATTTTCTCATAAAACATCTGCTTAAAATTTGTTTCTTTGCCCCCGTCTTGAAAAGAAATTGACTGGAAGGATGCTAGGGTCAATGCCATGCGCTCTACAATACAAGAGACATTTCCTGAACCAAATAGGTGCCTTTTGCAGAGGTACTCCCTGGCGCATTACCTAATCTTTTGTCTGCATGCCTCTGAACATGAACTGTTGTCTCTTCTTTTTACAACATTAGCTTTATTAAATTATTTTCTCTCTCTCTGATCATTTGCGTTCAGTCACTTAAGTGTCTGTGATGGCAGAAGAGCTTCTAAATCATTATTGTGAGTACGTCTGTGAAAAATTTCATGCTGCTTAAAAAGTAGGAGGTCCTAGCTTACTGTTTTAAATCCAATAATATTTAGGACACTGTATTGTGATACGCTCCCCATCGTAATATGGATTTTTCAATTGCATAGAACAACTTCCACAATTATGCACTAACATTTTTGATCAAATATCTACACGTATTTAGGACTTCAACAACTGAATGAAAACTTTTGACCAAATATTATGCCAATCTGCCAATATACGCCAAAAATGAGTAATATTATTTAAGATTTTCAACATCCATAAGGAATTGAAGCAATTTGGAAAGCGATAAGAATCAGAAGATGATGCCCATTTGTGCAGAATACGAAATATATATATATATTACTATTACTATTACTATTACTATTATTTTAGAGTAGATTCAACAGGGAAACCGCCGAAGCTAGAATCTTGCTGGCAACAAAGAATCTGCAGCCTGTGGCAATCAAATTGTGATATACATTTTTAGTGAAGAAATTAGGCTCTAGAGGCAGGGATCAAAGAATAAAAGGGGAATGGAAAGAACGAGTATAGTATTTGATGAGCAATGTCTTTGAAAAATTCTCCCTCGTAGCTTAGTATATGTACACAGAAGAAACCGTAAAATCTCAACCTTTCACCTCTCTCTTGTTCAGGTGCCACCATGTGTAGGTTCCTGTCACTTAAATAGTCTCGTGCTAGACATTGACTATTTGAATGATCATTAAATCTCTTGTCAATATGTGCACATGCCTTTTATCTTAATATATTATAGTAAGATGTAGGTTTAATAGACATGACAGCAGAAGAATTAGAATTCAAAGTATAAACAGCATCAGTGGATTGGGCTAGATCAAAATGCCACTGTTAATGTTGTGATTTAGGTTTTTGTTTTTCTTGAAATTATCCGACTTTTCAGAATTAGAATTTTTGTTGATGTCATAAAGCATTCTCCCAAATCATTCGTGCCAATCAAACAAGTTTTTATTTATTTTTTATCTTTTTCTTTCTGCTTTGTCGGCAATATTTATGTATTCTTTATATGTTTTTGCACAATGGAAATATCTAGATTACGATGGCTGGAAAGTGACCAATCCACTTTTAACGCAAGTTGTTATACGTTTATTGTGCAAATGATTGATGTTTAATTCATAATCTTGTAGGCACACTGAATAATTTCTTCCACAATACTTGAAAATATTTTTTTTCCATCATTCATCACATAAGCATCAGTTTTTTGCCATCTTATTTTTTTTCTGGTTATCATTTTTAGGGTTCTCAAAATGATGCATACAATTTCATCACATGCTTCTAAGAACCGGATGACTCCATCAGCTGTTGCTGCTTGTATGGCCCCACTGCTGTTACGCCCTCTTGTAGCTGGTGAGTGTGAATTACATGATATCAATGGTGATAATTCTGCTCAGCTTCTTGCTGCTGCCAACGCTGCTAGTAATGCCCAAGCAATTATTAAAACCCTACTGGAGGAGTATGAGAATATTTTTAATGTAAGTTAAACTCTTTTGTTGGTTTTGTAAATCATGTTAGGAAAAGGTTTCTTCAAATTTCACCTGAAATAGTTCTATTATGCAATTGTCGATAATTCTGTCTTATTAAATGTTACTCAACAACAAAATATCAGTCATAAAAAATGAAGAACCTACAGAAAGATTTCGAGCTTTTGCACGTAGTTCTTTGTTGGTCCCCATTTTGCTTGATTTTGCTCATCTATCTACCAATTTAAACTTGCATGTCTATGACATACTAGTTTTTTACTATTGCGTCGCTTAACAATTTTGCTTGAAATTTCAGGATGATAGTCTGTATAGATGCTCTATATCTGCTGGTTCTCAAACTGACAACAGTGAAAGTGAAGATACAACTGATAATGAAAATCATGATTTGGAAGACAATGGTTACCCAGATGCTGAACATGAAGTTTACCCTGAAACTCATGATGATCATGATCATATATTTAGCAGGAAGTTAAGTGAGAGTATCGGCTCTGAAGCCAGTGAACTTTATGACTATAAGGTCCCCTACCTCAATTCTTTTTGTTCTCCGACTCCTCTCTCTACTCCCTTGTTAATGCATAGAGATATTGTCAGAATTAAAAATAAAAAATTTGTGTTCCCAATCTGCACTAGGCAATATAACGCAAATCTTGAGGATTTATTCTTAGGGAATGATATTAAATTTACTTTCCAAGGTTATGTTAAAATATTCTGCGGTGTATTAAAATCTGTTGTACTGATATAGTCTTATTTGACGGGATGTTTTGATTTCCAGGGTAAGACAATGGAAAATATGTTCAAATTAGGAGATTTTTAATTTTCTTTGCTATTAGGCTGTAAATTTACACCCTTGGGATATATTTTGATCTAATGGCCTCTAAGAAGAAGCTGTTTATTTATTCTTCAATTAGCACTGAACCATTTTCTATTAAGAGAACTGTTAATGAACACCTTGTAAGAGAGTGTAAACTCTAACTTCATTGGGTATAATTTTGTCCCTGTAAGACAGTGTAGTGACCTTGTTTCGTGTCTTCAATAATATTTTCAGGTCCTTTTCAATTCAACTAGATATTTTCACTGTAACTGAGACGTAGTTATATGTCGAACTTAGAATCATTAGTGGGTACTTATAAATCTTAAGTACTAATTGATATGGTCGAGTGATTATAATAATCAGCTCAAGTTTGCGAGATGAATGCATTTTGGACCAGAGTGACACCAATCAATGTGCCAGTTTTGACATATAATTAAATATAATTGACTTAAGAACTTCCCTGTGGATAACAATTGCAGGTCAAATGCTTAACCATAATGGCTATACATTATATAGAAGTTTGATTTACTGATATTTGTGGTTACCTGTTACCTCTCTGATTCAAACATTCATTAAAAATTATTCACCAATTGTTGGTCTTGGCATTTTTAATACAGGGCATTGGAAATTATGACTCGGACGTTGGATCTCCCAGGGATAATTATTCTTCAGGAACTAAATCAAATCCGAGTATAGACCCTAATTTTCCTAGAGATTCTAATACTTCAGTTAGCCAGCAACTAGACCAACAGAAGAAGGCATATGAAAACCTGATGGACACTTCTGCTGGTGTACTGGGTAATGACTCTCAGCGATGTGATGAAGAAATATTTCCATCGGTGGAACAAGAGCTACATATTTCTGTTCCTAGAACTGAATTTTTGGATAAGAAGCCAGTGGACAAACTTACAAATTTGAAGTTCAATACCAAGAGATCAACATTCTGGGGAAGCGAAAATGTGAGGCCTCCCCTCTTCTTCTTTTTCCAGAATATTTTACTTCATTTATGAGGAAACAAATAAACCCCATAGCTGTACCATCCTACTAATATAGAGCAATCTTTGTTCGTTCTGGTTTTGGCTTAACTGAATGTGAATCTGGAAAAAGAAGTGACTGGATATTAGCTTTTACGAACTCCTATACATTTGAACCATGTTTCCTATAACGCCAAAGATGTATTTTGCGCATTTATTATGGTTCTTTTTCAGGTTTCGTCTCCATTTCTGACAAATAATATCTTTTACCTTTATAGTTTATTTTGGTTATGCATATTTTTTATATTTATAAACGTAGACATTCTTCTCCATGACCTCTGTTCGCGCTTTGGCTCCCTGAGTGACTTCTTTTTCCAGCAATCTCTGTAAGGGGTTTGCATTTCTGTTTCATTTTATGGCAGACCTTGAAAGGTCATTGTTTTTGTAGGCAAAAATCCATATGTTGGTTCAACTGACATCAATTATTTTATTAATTCATCCTGATTATTTTAATGGGTTTCAGAAATAAGAGATCAGGTGACTGAGATATTGAATATAAAACTGATTTACATGAAAATAGTAACGTAATATTCTAAACGAAGTATATTTTCAGTTCTTTGTTGGTGAAACTCTAGTCTTTCTCTTCTTAATTTTTAAAAAAAATTTCTTTTTCAGGTGTCTGTGTGCGAATTGAGTAATAAAACTTTAAACAAGCATTGAGTAAACAATTTACAGATTTCTCTAATTTTTATTTTGCAAATTTATGTGTTTCTTAGTTTTGATTGTTTTGGAACCGAACATTCTGATTGTTTTCTTCTTCCAGGCCAGGAAAACACCATCAATGGAATCAATAGATTCTTCTGGAGAGGAAGAGTAAGGTTTCCTTATATAAACTTGCTCATGGGTGTGTTTCTACATGCTTGCCCTATTAAAATCATTTCGATTTTTATATGTTACACATTTTGCCTGAGCACAATGGAGATCTGGTTTACATGATAATATTTGTCTTTTCTTTTTCAGAATTAGCTTGCTTCGTGAGAAGAAAGTTTATTTTTCCCTTTCAATTCATCTTTGGTTGAGACAGTCTATATGTAATATGTGATATTCGTGAATGTACAAAGATTTACAGCTGTATGAGTATCTTTTTGATGGTAAATTGCAGCAGTACTTACCAGTTTCATAGCTCGATATAATGGTTGTAACTATTTGCTTTCTGTAGTCCTCTATTCTATACCCATGTTGTCTAGTTTTTGGAATGGAACTTTGTCAGGAACAACCTCTTTTCATGCATGCTGTTATCAGGGGAAAGTGGAAGGTTAAATTACTCTGAGATCGTATAGAAGACTCACAATTGTTGTTCATGTATGAATCTCAGCTAGCTAAAAGAAAAAGATAAAGAAATTTTGTTTCTGTGATTATTGGATGTAAATTAATCTACTGCTGTTTATCTTGTATCACTCAGTTTAAGAATGATTGCCAGGTACCTACTTCTGCAATTGTCTTTGAAGATCCTCATGTTGAACTTTACTTGAACAAATGTTTTTGTGTACGATTACTAGTAATTCTTCGGGGAACCTTTTTACTACCCTTTATTGTGCAAGCCCTCGAAGACAACTATGTTCAATAACTAATTGATTGATATATTATTGTCTATTGCCTTTTCCCTTATTTGGTTATTTCTTTCAGTACTCGTTCTTTAAATTGAATTAGAAAACTTTTTATAGGCTTTCTATTCAAAGATTAGAGGTTGCAAAAAATGATTTGCGTCAAAGGATTGCCAAAGAGGTAATATATGATTTTCTGAAAGTGTTCTTGCTTATGACATGATCAAAGTGCTTTAATGCTGATAGGTTTGTCTTTTGTATCAGGAAAGAGGAAATGCAATCTTGCAAGCTAGCTTAGAGAGAAGGAAGCAAGCTTTGCATGAGCGCCTCTTGGCACTTGAACAAGATGTATGTGTCCATTCTATTATTCAGATGTACCTGTTTTATTTCTCCAAATGTGGATGAAAGTAATTGCTAATTCCTGCCCAATGATGCTTAAATTATTGTTAGATAGTGAAAATCTTAATTCTAGGTCTTGATCAGTACATCAGTTATTCGGTTGAGTCTTCTGACAGGATGAGCATATATACAGAACAACAGGATAATCACCAGAATATTCATTTGATTAATTTTGTGAACAAATCGAAATCTCACAATATTGGTGTAATTTTTTATTCTCCGAAATCTCCCAGAAAGGTGCTTTCTCAATATGTTAACAAGAAGCAATTGAAAGTATTTTGTCCTATGCTCTAAATGTTGCCTCCCTTTAGTTCGTGGTTGCGTGTTCTGATGATTAATGTTCACCCGAGCCAACTCCATAACAACCAGTAAGAACTTGACAACACTGACATCGTCTGTAGAAGTGAATACTCTCACATTTGGATAGACAGCCTTATAATTTTCACCCTACCATTTGCCCATCAATCTAAGCAGTAATATAAGTGCAGAATTGGAAATTAATGTGTGTCACTCAAATGGAAGGTAACTTATTTGCTTTTGGTTAAAAAACTTCCTTGAACTATAGTTGAGAGGGAACTCAGTCTCAGTATCCACCGTGAGTGAAAGTCCAGTCTTAATTGTATTTTGTGGGATCAGAGGCACTATGAATTGTTCCATATCCTTGGATATATGTAAGTTCACAATTGGTGCAACCGCTTGATGCGATAATATGTACTTTATTCTATTTACCCACAAAAAGGAAGTATTTTAGTTCAAGTGGAGCACATGGCAGTGAAGTAAATCACTCTATCAATATAACAAGATCGGTTTTCCGTTACTCTGGCGGTTCAGTAAGGGACATTGGTATCTTCTTCTGCGATAGAGTTACTCAATTTGCGACGAATAAGTATTTAGTTTTTTTAGTTTTTTTTTTTTTTTGGTCCAGTTCTTTCGTCCTAATCACTTTCTCTAGCAACGAAAACAGGACAAATAAGTAAAGGTGAAAATGCAAATAAGAGGAAAGTAGGATAGTTGTATAGACAGTTGAGATCATCAATGAGAAGTAGTAATAAAAATGATGGTGAATTAGAATGAACTAACTGTAGTTCCGAGCAGGAAGGGCAATGTCTTGTTTCTCTTCTTCTTACTAGTGAATTAGCACTGTAATACTACCACACATTTTCCTACTTGCGAGACATTTCTATTTATAATGTCGAGAAATTACCATTATCTCTTTTGAGGTTTGGCCTAATTGTAGGGACCTTTCATGAAGTTTAGGAAATAATAGTAACCTGTTACAACCCTCAATATCAGTTTTTGTAAGTCTTTATTTTCTTTCAAAGAATATGCAGTGTGTCAAAAGAGAATTGTGACTTTCTTCTGATCACGCTCATTCTACTCCTACTTTCTCAATCATGAGTGTTTACCCTTAATTTGAGACAACATTGATATTATAATTATGAAATGATGGTAGAGTTATGAATTTGATTAATGTTCTATTTCATTGCATAGTTTGAGGAAAGCAATTATTTTAATCAAAGTAAATGATTATGGTGTCTGATTTTGAGCTGCTTTGATACTTGTCCTTGAAAAACTTTTTGCAGCTTACATTCTTGATTTTCCCCTCATTTGTGCACATATTAGTCTATCTTGTCCACGATGACTATTATTACTTCTATAATAGGTTGCAAGACTGCAAGAACAGTTGCAAGCTGAGCGAGATTTGCGGGCAGCCCTGGAAGTTGGCCTGAGCATGACTACTGGGCATTTTTCTGGTTCTCAAGGAATGGATTCCAAGGTTTGTATTGATATAAATGCTTCAGATCCCCAACAACTTTGAATAATGTCTGATATGTTTAGCCTAATAAGAAGACAAGGGCCGAGCTTGAGGAAATAGCTCTCGCTGAAGCAGATGTGACAAGATTGAAGCAGAAAGTTGCTGAACTTCACCATCAGCTAAATCGGCAACGTCTTCTTCATTATGGCCCTCTTTCTGTATCATGTGATCTTTATCAACATGTTGCAGATCATAGTTTACAAGAGTGAGTCAGAAATACAATTTTATTATGCTTGTTATTTTCAAAAATCAAGTAGCTGCATGCTGTTTTCTGGTTTATGAAATATCTTATGGGCTCATTATTTTCTCTTTTGACATTTAACTTTTTTTCTTCTTCGAACAATCGTTATCAAATCATTACATTTTATACTTTCATCTTCAAAACTGAGAGAATGGCACCACAGTTAGCTTTGTGTCACATGTCTAGGGACAAAAAGGAAAAACTATACACATTGCACATGTTTTCAACTCCTAGTTAAGCAATGACGTCAAATCAAGACTGAGAAATTGAAGAGGTCTTAGAAGAGTGGCGATAACTTATTTGGCTAATCTGCTTAACTTATTAAGACCTATGTTATATTTGGCACAGGAGTCAAACTCATTTATGTATATACAAGGTTGGGAAGTGACCAATAGACACGCTTATTCGTATGGACTGCTATACTGTGTGGCACTCTTTGGTGAACTGCATTTTTTCCACTTGCTTGGACATCTTCTACTCCCAAAAGATATCCATAGAGCAGAAAGTTTGGCATGCATGTGCAAAGCTTTTGACTCGATCCTTTCATTTTTTTTTATTTTTTTTTGGTTTTATTTATTTATTGTAATTGAAATGAGGATAATTAACACAGAAGATCTTTATATATTGAATTAACATGTCAAGCAATTGGCTAATATTTATTTGTTAGCTACTGCACATCATGGGTACTGATAAAGTTTACTTTATCTCGCTGCAGGAAATATTTCCAGCAAAATTTTGATACCACTCTAGCTTCCAGTGACCATGCACGAAAACAAAGGAATGAGGTGACTTTCCTATGCTTGATTTTTTTTATTTTTTATTTATTTATTTTGTTTTTAAATTTCAAGTCAATTAACATTATTTGAAATATACGTTATTTGAAAAGTTAAGTGCAATTTGGAATCTTACAAGTTTCACATGTTCTATTGACTCCTCTCTGATACATACACCTGTTCTGATCTTGACTTATTTTCAACATTATCATATGACTTGAAATGGCCAATCGAATCCCCCGTTCTATCTTTTGATCTAATAAGCACATACATAAATTTTACCTTATCTTTGTTTCCGTTGAGCATTTTGTTTTATGTGCAGTTCCTACTTCCTACATTCTCCTCTTGAGACTTTATTGGTGAAAATTTGTCTACATGCATAACATCAGTGTTGTGTTCCTTTTTCTAGGCTAATTATTCCTTTAGGAGGATATACGTTTGCATTTTTCCCAGTTGAAAAGAGTCCATGATATATATATTCCATCTATCTTGCTGGGATAAGATGATGTTTTGGTTAAAATCAGTCTTTCCCATCTAGAATTATCCGAGGATTCTGAAAAGTCAATGTGTCACATATATGCCTTCGGTATTCTAGCCTCTATACTAAGTCTACAATATACCCTTATAGATTGGTTAGTGATACTTTTTTCCTGCAACTGTCAAACGTGAGTTCAATTCTCTATGACACTTTGTTGAAGTAGTGCGATTCTATTAAGGGTGTTAGTGCATGTATGACTGGATTAAATATAAGTCAAATTTACTTTTAAGTTACATATTTTGTCAACACGATTTCAAAAGCTACTTTATTTTTGTAGAGAAAACTTGCTTTCTTAGAAAGTAAGTCTTAACTCAGCCTATGTTTGACTCATGTTTATAAAGTGTTTATAAACTTAAGCACTTTTTATTCACGCATTCTGGGTGACTCACAAGTATGATCCACTACTTATTTCTATTTTCTATGTATTTATAATTTAAATTGTTTATATATACTTCCCAAACATGGTTTTTGTTTCTGAAGAAATTACTCTTAAGCACAACAAACACGGTCTTAAATCTATAATGGTCTAATACATTTGACGGCCTTAATGACATATTGCAACTCACACCTATTATGTATGTGTTTTAGGACTCTAAAGAAGCTATAATGGTTGCAGGTACTTCCCTGTGGATAACAATTGCAGGTCAAATGCTTAACCATAATGGCTATACATTATATAGAAGTTTGATTTACTGATATTTGTGGTTACCTGTTACCTCTCTGATTCAAACATTCATTAAAAATTATTCACCAATTGTTGGTCTTGGCATTTTTAATACAGGGCATTGGAAATTATGACTCGGACGTTGGATCTCCCAGGGATAATTATTCTTCAGGAACTAAATCAAATCCGAGTATAGACCCTAATTTTCCTAGAGATTCTAATACTTCAGTTAGCCAGCAACTAGACCAACAGAAGAAGGCATATGAAAACCTGATGGACACTTCTGCTGGTGTACTGGGTAATGACTCTCAGCGATGTGATGAAGAAATATTTCCATCGGTGGAACAAGAGCTACATATTTCTGTTCCTAGAACTGAATTTTTGGATAAGAAGCCAGTGGACAAACTTACAAATTTGAAGTTCAATACCAAGAGATCAACATTCTGGGGAAGCGAAAATGTGAGGCCTCCCCTCTTCTTCTTTTTCCAGAATATTTTACTTCATTTATGAGGAAACAAATAAACCCCATAGCTGTACCATCCTACTAATATAGAGCAATCTTTGTTCGTTCTGGTTTTGGCTTAACTGAATGTGAATCTGGAAAAAGAAGTGACTGGATATTAGCTTTTACGAACTCCTATACATTTGAACCATGTTTCCTATAACGCCAAAGATGTATTTTGCGCATTTATTATGGTTCTTTTTCAGGTTTCGTCTCCATTTCTGACAAATAATATCTTTTACCTTTATAGTTTATTTTGGTTATGCATATTTTTTATATTTATAAACGTAGACATTCTTCTCCATGACCTCTGTTCGCGCTTTGGCTCCCTGAGTGACTTCTTTTTCCAGCAATCTCTGTAAGGGGTTTGCATTTCTGTTTCATTTTATGGCAGACCTTGAAAGGTCATTGTTTTTGTAGGCAAAAATCCATATGTTGGTTCAACTGACATCAATTATTTTATTAATTCATCCTGATTATTTTAATGGGTTTCAGAAATAAGAGATCAGGTGACTGAGATATTGAATATAAAACTGATTTACATGAAAATAGTAACGTAATATTCTAAACGAAGTATATTTTCAGTTCTTTGTTGGTGAAACTCTAGTCTTTCTCTTCTTAATTTTTAAAAAAAATTTCTTTTTCAGGTGTCTGTGTGCGAATTGAGTAATAAAACTTTAAACAAGCATTGAGTAAACAATTTACAGATTTCTCTAATTTTTATTTTGCAAATTTATGTGTTTCTTAGTTTTGATTGTTTTGGAACCGAACATTCTGATTGTTTTCTTCTTCCAGGCCAGGAAAACACCATCAATGGAATCAATAGATTCTTCTGGAGAGGAAGAGTAAGGTTTCCTTATATAAACTTGCTCATGGGTGTGTTTCTACATGCTTGCCCTATTAAAATCATTTCGATTTTTATATGTTACACATTTTGCCTGAGCACAATGGAGATCTGGTTTACATGATAATATTTGTCTTTTCTTTTTCAGAATTAGCTTGCTTCGTGAGAAGAAAGTTTATTTTTCCCTTTCAATTCATCTTTGGTTGAGACAGTCTATATGTAATATGTGATATTCGTGAATGTACAAAGATTTACAGCTGTATGAGTATCTTTTTGATGGTAAATTGCAGCAGTACTTACCAGTTTCATAGCTCGATATAATGGTTGTAACTATTTGCTTTCTGTAGTCCTCTATTCTATACCCATGTTGTCTAGTTTTTGGAATGGAACTTTGTCAGGAACAACCTCTTTTCATGCATGCTGTTATCAGGGGAAAGTGGAAGGTTAAATTACTCTGAGATCGTATAGAAGACTCACAATTGTTGTTCATGTATGAATCTCAGCTAGCTAAAAGAAAAAGATAAAGAAATTTTGTTTCTGTGATTATTGGATGTAAATTAATCTACTGCTGTTTATCTTGTATCACTCAGTTTAAGAATGATTGCCAGGTACCTACTTCTGCAATTGTCTTTGAAGATCCTCATGTTGAACTTTACTTGAACAAATGTTTTTGTGTACGATTACTAGTAATTCTTCGGGGAACCTTTTTACTACCCTTTATTGTGCAAGCCCTCGAAGACAACTATGTTCAATAACTAATTGATTGATATATTATTGTCTATTGCCTTTTCCCTTATTTGGTTATTTCTTTCAGTACTCGTTCTTTAAATTGAATTAGAAAACTTTTTATAGGCTTTCTATTCAAAGATTAGAGGTTGCAAAAAATGATTTGCGTCAAAGGATTGCCAAAGAGGTAATATATGATTTTCTGAAAGTGTTCTTGCTTATGACATGATCAAAGTGCTTTAATGCTGATAGGTTTGTCTTTTGTATCAGGAAAGAGGAAATGCAATCTTGCAAGCTAGCTTAGAGAGAAGGAAGCAAGCTTTGCATGAGCGCCTCTTGGCACTTGAACAAGATGTATGTGTCCATTCTATTATTCAGATGTACCTGTTTTATTTCTCCAAATGTGGATGAAAGTAATTGCTAATTCCTGCCCAATGATGCTTAAATTATTGTTAGATAGTGAAAATCTTAATTCTAGGTCTTGATCAGTACATCAGTTATTCGGTTGAGTCTTCTGACAGGATGAGCATATATACAGAACAACAGGATAATCACCAGAATATTCATTTGATTAATTTTGTGAACAAATCGAAATCTCACAATATTGGTGTAATTTTTTATTCTCCGAAATCTCCCAGAAAGGTGCTTTCTCAATATGTTAACAAGAAGCAATTGAAAGTATTTTGTCCTATGCTCTAAATGTTGCCTCCCTTTAGTTCGTGGTTGCGTGTTCTGATGATTAATGTTCACCCGAGCCAACTCCATAACAACCAGTAAGAACTTGACAACACTGACATCGTCTGTAGAAGTGAATACTCTCACATTTGGATAGACAGCCTTATAATTTTCACCCTACCATTTGCCCATCAATCTAAGCAGTAATATAAGTGCTGAATTGGAAATTAATGTGTGTCACTCAAATGGAAGGTAACTTATTTGCTTTTGGTTAAAAAACTTCCTTGAACTATAGTTGAGAGGGAACTCAGTCTCAGTATCCACCGTGAGTGAAAGTCCAGTCTTAATTGTATTTTGTGGGATCAGAGGCACTATGAATTGTTCCATATCCTTGGATATATGTAAGTTCACAATTGGTGCAACCGCTTGATGCGATAATATGTACTTTATTCTATTTACCCACAAAAAGGAAGTATTTTAGTTCAAGTGGAGCACATGGCAGTGAAGTAAATCACTCTATCAATATAACAAGATCGGTTTTCCGTTACTCTGGCGGTTCAGTAAGGGACATTGGTATCTTCTTCTGCGATAGAGTTACTCAATTTGCGACGAATAAGTATTTAGTTTTTTTAGTTTTTTTTTTTTTTTTGGTCCAGTTCTTTCGTCCTAATCACTTTCTCTAGCAACGAAAACAGGACAAATAAGTAAAGGTGAAAATGCAAATAAGAGGAAAGTAGGATAGTTGTATAGACAGTTGAGATCATCAATGAGAAGTAGTAATAAAAATGATGGTGAATTAGAATGAACTAACTGTAGTTCCGAGCAGGAAGGGCAATGTCTTGTTTCTCTTCTTCTTACTAGTGAATTAGCACTGTAATACTACCACACATTTTCCTACTTGCGAGACATTTCTATTTATAATGTCGAGAAATTACCATTATCTCTTTTGAGGTTTGGCCTAATTGTAGGGACCTTTCATGAAGTTTAGGAAATAATAGTAACCTGTTACAACCCTCAATATCAGTTTTTGTAAGTCTTTATTTTCTTTCAAAGAATATGCAGTGTGTCAAAAGAGAATTGTGACTTTCTTCTGATCACGCTCATTCTACTCCTACTTTCTCAATCATGAGTGTTTACCCTTAATTTGAGACAACATTGATATTATAATTATGAAATGATGGTAGAGTTATGAATTTGATTAATGTTCTATTTCATTGCATAGTTTGAGGAAAGCAATTATTTTAATCAAAGTAAATGATTATGGTGTCTGATTTTGAGCTGCTTTGATACTTGTCCTTGAAAAACTTTTTGCAGCTTACATTCTTGATTTTCCCCTCATTTGTGCACATATTAGTCTATCTTGTCCACGATGACTATTATTACTTCTATAATAGGTTGCAAGACTGCAAGAACAGTTGCAAGCTGAGCGAGATTTGCGGGCAGCCCTGGAAGTTGGCCTGAGCATGACTACTGGGCATTTTTCTGGTTCTCAAGGAATGGATTCCAAGGTTTGTATTGATATAAATGCTTCAGATCCCCAACAACTTTGAATAATGTCTGATATGTTTAGCCTAATAAGAAGACAAGGGCCGAGCTTGAGGAAATAGCTCTCGCTGAAGCAGATGTGACAAGATTGAAGCAGAAAGTTGCTGAACTTCACCATCAGCTAAATCGGCAACGTCTTCTTCATTATGGCCCTCTTTCTGTATCATGTGATCTTTATCAACATGTTGCAGATCATAGTTTACAAGAGTGAGTCAGAAATACAATTTTATTATGCTTGTTATTTTCAAAAATCAAGTAGCTGCATGCTGTTTTCTGGTTTATGAAATATCTTATGGGCTCATTATTTTCTCTTTTGACATTTAACTTTTTTTCTTCTTCGAACAATCGTTATCAAATCATTACATTTTATACTTTCATCTTCAAAACTGAGAGAATGGCACCACAGTTAGCTTTGTGTCACATGTCTAGGGACAAAAAGGAAAAACTATACACATTGCACATGTTTTCAACTCCTAGTTAAGCAATGACGTCAAATCAAGACTGAGAAATTGAAGAGGTCTTAGAAGAGTGGCGATAACTTATTTGGCTAATCTGCTTAACTTATTAAGACCTATGTTATATTTGGCACAGGAGTCAAACTCATTTATGTATATACAAGGTTGGGAAGTGACCAATAGACACGCTTATTCGTATGGACTGCTATACTGTGTGGCACTCTTTGGTGAACTGCATTTTTTCCACTTGCTTGGACATCTTCTACTCCCAAAAGATATCCATAGAGCAGAAAGTTTGGCATGCATGTGCAAAGCTTTTGACTCGATCCTTTCATTTTTTTTTATTTTTTTTTGGTTTTATTTATTTATTGTAATTGAAATGAGGATAATTAACACAGAAGATCTTTATATATTGAATTAACATGTCAAGCAATTGGCTAATATTTATTTGTTAGCTACTGCACATCATGGGTACTGATAAAGTTTACTTTATCTCGCTGCAGGAAATATTTCCAGCAAAATTTTGATACCACTCTAGCTTCCAGTGACCATGCACGAAAACAAAGGAATGAGGTGACTTTCCTATGCTTGATTTTTTTTATTTTTTATTTATTTATTTTGTTTTTAAATTTCAAGTCAATTAACATTATTTGAAATATACGTTATTTGAAAAGTTAAGTGCAATTTGGAATCTTACAAGTTTCACATGTTCTATTGACTCCTCTCTGATACATACACCTGTTCTGATCTTGACTTATTTTCAACATTATCATATGACTTGAAATGGCCAATCGAATCCCCCGTTCTATCTTTTGATCTAATAAGCACATACATAAATTTTACCTTATCTTTGTTTCCGTTGAGCATTTTGTTTTATGTGCAGTTCCTACTTCCTACATTCTCCTCTTGAGACTTTATTGGTGAAAATTTGTCTACATGCATAACATCAGTGTTGTGTTCCTTTTTCTAGGCTAATTATTCCTTTAGGAGGATATACGTTTGCATTTTTCCCAGTTGAAAAGAGTCCATGATATATATATTCCATCTATCTTGCTGGGATAAGATGATGTTTTGGTTAAAATCAGTCTTTCCCATCTAGAATTATCCGAGGATTCTGAAAAGTCAATGTGTCACATATATGCCTTCGGTATTCTAGCCTCTATACTAAGTCTACAATATACCCTTATAGATTGGTTAGTGATACTTTTTTCCTGCAACTGTCAAACGTGAGTTCAATTCTCTATGACACTTTGTTGAAGTAGTGCGATTCTATTAAGGGTGTTAGTGCATGTATGACTGGATTAAATATAAGTCAAATTTACTTTTAAGTTACATATTTTGTCAACACGATTTCAAAAGCTACTTTATTTTTGTAGAGAAAACTTGCTTTCTTAGAAAGTAAGTCTTAACTCAGCCTATGTTTGACTCATGTTTATAAAGTGTTTATAAACTTAAGCACTTTTTATTCACGCATTCTGGGTGACTCACAAGTATGATCCACTACTTATTTCTATTTTCTATGTATTTATAATTTAAATTGTTTATATATACTTCCCAAACATGGTTTTTGTTTCTGAAGAAATTACTCTTAAGCACAACAAACACGGTCTTAAATCTATAATGGTCTAATACATTTGACGGCCTTAATGACATATTGCAACTCACACCTATTATGTATGTGTTTTAGGACTCTAAAGAAGCTATAATGGTTGCAGGTATTGGATTATCCGTCTCATCCCTCAGCAGCGTCCTCAACTTTAGTAGAATTGACAACGCGTCTAGATTTTTTCAAGGAGAGAAGGTTTCAGCTGATGGAACAACTCCATAATCTGGATTTGAACTATGGAACAATGTCACAAAATTTTGAGTATAAACCGTCATCTCCTGCATGGATCTAACTATAAGTTCTACTCAAATGTCAAGAGGAGTTGAACCTGCACAAAATTCGACTTTTCTGTTTGGGATGGAGAGAAGATCCCATTCTACCATCTTTTTCACAAGGATTGCTCCAAAAGCTGAGAGGTAAAGAGATAAGAAGACAGCTCCATGGAAGATTCTATATCAAGATGCAAGAAGCTAACTCTGTACCCTGTAAATTCTGTCATATATGTCAAATAGGTGACTGGCTGGCCCGTCCCAACTTTTAAAATATTTCTTGTGCTATTTTAAATAATGTTAGAAGAAAAAATTTGGGAGTTGCGGGTCATGGGAGGCACGTCCCAGTTCCACCCATTTTGACAGTATGAATACTATGGCTTGTTGTGGGAGCACTGAGAATGCAATTAGCATCTAGCTTTTGGAATTATTAAGTTGCTAATGTTTATGTTATACATTGTTCATGTAAATGATTAATTAGAACAACATAGTATTTAATATTTAATTGCGCAGTAGGTGAAAAATTTGGGTGACTGATGTACTTTGTTGGTTCAGTCTTAAGATAATTGCATTACGAGTAGCTGTAGTTTGTAATATCAGCAGCCACTGGAAAGTTTAAGCTGTAGTTACTTCACAAATGAAAGAGGTTCGAGTATACTGATTTCTTGGATGAGCGCCCGTCTATCAGGGCTTTTGCTTCCTATAAACGTCGTGGAACCAATTTTTACTAAAAAAATCTTCTAATTGAAAGTATTTTTGATAATTTATTAAAACAAATTTATTGCTTGTTTGATATAGATTTTGATAATTGATTTTTTGACCGTTAGAGATGCGTTAGAGATAAAGTGAGTTCTACCTGTGAGAAAATAATTCAAAAATGACGACTGAAATAGTGAGATAACGATAAAAAAATTGATTTTAATTGACTTTTAAGTTGTACCAAACAAGCTCTTAAAAGTAACTTTTTAATCTCAAAAGTAATTATAGATTTTTTGGGGGTGGAGAGGATCTGTCAACTAGCATCATTGACTAGTCAAGGCAGAAACATGTTTGAACATAAAACAACAATAGTATTATTGTTCAAGTCCTTCAATCTAGAGGATAGCGAAGGCAAAGGTCCTCGTTGGGTGATTCTACAATTTCTTTTGGATAGAGATGATAGAATTGGTTGATCATTAGTTGTAAAATTAATAATAATTAACGTAAAACCTCGATAAATGAATGCTAGATAAATTATTAATCTCGCTTAAATAATAAAATTCTTCACTCTTGACTTGGGCTAATGTACTAAATTAACAACCGGGCTAAATACATAAGATAATAAATGTTTTTGAAATCCTTTAAGGCCCAATGGATATATAAAATAATAATTGTTTAATTTCATAAAAGTTCATACTAATACAAATTATCAAATTTTTAATTTGACATTATTATTTTTTTAATTTGTCTCTTCAAAATATGTATATTAAGTTTTTTGCTTTTTCTTTGTATGTACATTAATGTTTTTTCTTTAATGTATGTATATGCATGCCTTTTGTGTGCTTACACATTAAAATTTTGAATTTCATCACATTCAATTATTTTTATTTTTATTTTTAAATATCCACACGTATTATGGTAATATATAATACATGTCATAAAAATATAAAATACTTTATAAATTAATAAATATTCATGTATCTATATATTAATAAATAATTTATTTATTGATAAATTAATAGCCCCCTAAAATAATTATTTTTCTCGATCCCAACATTATTATTTTATAGAAATCTCACTGTTTATAACTATATATTGATATAGAAATTTTTATTTTTTATTTCAAAAAGTAATATATTTAAATTTTGTTAGTAAAACCTATCAAATAAAAATGGAGATTACAAATTGTGTGAATCAAAATCGACTTAAATATGAGTCTAGCAACTTACCAAACAAAAAACTAGAATTTATTAACTTATTTAGTTTATAATCAATTTTAATTTATTTGCCCGATACTCTCTATTGCTTTGATTTTAGTTCACAAATTTGTAGGGAAAATTACTCCAAACCCTACATATAAATTATATTATTCAAAAATAAGACTGTCTAGATTTAATTTCACAAATCAGGTGATAATACAGATTTATTAAATTAATTAATACATATTAGTAATATCATTGTTTAATTTAATCAATATTTTTCACATTCTCTCCCTATCCTTTTTATTCTCTCTTTGAATTATGTCATCGTCTCCATTCTTTACTTCGGCGCTGATCAACACTTTCCCTCATCTTTCGTGCCATCAAGTCCTTCACTCATTGATGTTTCCCAATTGATCTTGACACGCAACAACGCCACTACAAGGCACACTACGACATCGCATGACTGTGCTCATCGAAGCCTCTCGCAGTACCACTACAAGGCGTGCAGATATGGTGGTTGATGAGTGGCGATGATGGATCTAGTTTGGAGGGTAAAGAAATGAGAAGCGGGAAGTACTTAGGAAGTGCAGCATATGGATTAAACGGTGTTGGTGTAGGTGCAATTTTGTTGGTGCGCGGCGACGGTGGGGTGTTGCGATGGTGGTGGTGGTGGTAACCATTTATATGTTAACTATGATTTTCTATAATTTAGTCTGTGTCAATTGTGATCGGTTGTGACTATATGTGAACAAATTAACAATGACTTGCTCACATATCATCATAATTAAGACTGACCTAATCACATACAATCATAATAAATACAAATTTGATCATAGTTGTTACTCACAAATACTTTTCATCACATCCCAACTCGAATCCAACACAGCCAGCACCACCACTGTCACAACGACCACCACCTTACCACAACTAACAACACTATCTTACACCAACCGCCATCACCACGACCACCTCACCAACACCACCATTTGCAAAAGACCAACCACCACTAATGAAATCAAAGTGATCGTACAAAAATTGGATCAGGTCTAAAACAATAAAGAGCGTCGCTCCATGCGTCACACACACTGTCGCAGTGGCGATCACAACACCGTCATTCACCACTAATTGCACGATGGCTCCAGTGGGTGGGGTGAAAAGAAGCTTCGATGGATGAGATGAAGAGAAAATGAGAAGAGATATGGGATAGAGTAGTGGTGAAAATCAATTATTATTGTTATTATAATTTAACACTTGATTTGTAAATTTTTTTTTTTACAAGTTTGTTAAATTTGAATTTGTAGTCCTATAGTATTGTATTATGTACTTTTCACAAATTTTTAATGGATCTTTTTCAAAGGCCTAATTATGGAAAAATTTCATATCCAAGAGATTAATTATGATTCACTTCAAAACTAAGAAATAAGGTTTAAAACGTTGCTTATCATAAGGAATTCGAACAACTGTTGACCCCTTCCCCTGTTTTCGCCTACGTAAATTTAATTTATGAAATAATTAATTAAAATATATTTTATTAATTAGATATATTAAGGTCACAATTCTATATAATTTGGTCCTAAATTATCAAATTAATTGATCACAAATCAAAAATTTTATAGATCACAAATTATTTCACGATCACGAATAAAACATTTTATAGGTCAAAATTTATTCATTGGTCGCATATAAAAAATTTAGGTCGCGGTTTATTTATCAATCATAAATCACCAATTTTATATATCACACTTTATCATCACATGTTATTTTAATATATTCAATTTATTGGTCACATCTCAAATAATTGGTCACAACACTCTTACAGCCTGTTTGAGAGTGATTTTTTGGCTCAAAAAATTGATTTTTTGACCGTTATTTCACTATTTCAACCGTCATATTTGATTTCTTCTCTCACAGGTGGGCCCCACTTTTCTCCTAACGGTCAAAAAATCAATTCTCAAAATCACTTCCAAACATGCTCTTAATATTACTACTGCCATAACCACCACCTCCAACAAACTACCATTTTCAACTTCAAAACCACTACTACTGCCACGAACAAGATCCAACAAAATCGCCACCAAAAACATCCAACAAAACCAATGCCACCACTAGATCCAACAAAACTACTACCACTGTCGCCTAAACACTGTTGTTTCTTGAGTTTGAAGTTACTCCTTCGAAAATAATCCGACAGAATCACCTGAATGTAAGAAATGATCAATAAGATCCAAAATGTAATTCGAGCCCACCGACTTCACGATATTTTTTTAAAACGAATTTGCTGTCTTCAGTGGTGCTAAAAGCGTCTAGCAATCGTTTTCCAGGATAGAACGAATTTTCGTCTCCTACGGAAGCAGCACTGCAGTCTGCAGGAGTTCCAACGAACTCGACGAAGTGTATTTGACTTTGAAACAATATCAGAATGAGAGAGAAGAGAATAAAATTCAAAGCGCACAAAGATTACAATGAAAATGGTGTAAATTTTCTGACAGAGAGGCAGACTATTTATAGACTTGTTCGTGGCCATTCGAACAGTCGTCACCTTTCAGACAAACCTCAAAAATCCTGGACAGACATGTTCTAAAGTCGCGTCTGTTAAGTCGATTAATAGTCGACTGTTTGGTCGGTTAACAAACGACTGTTAAACAGTCCATCCAGACAAAAAAAATACCCGGAATAAGCCAAAAATTTAAATTTCATAGTGTACCCAAGAATTTGATTATTTACAATTTGGCCCAAAAATTTAAATAAATTTTATCCAAAAAGTTAATATAGTGCAAACGTCCACCTCCACCCGCACCCGAACACGAACTGGACCGGACTCGGACACGGGCACGTGCTCGTGCCGTGTCAAGCCGAGCCGAGCCGGTCGATCAGACGAACGGCGGCGCGCGTGTGTGGATTTATGACTGAACCCAATAAGATATTGGTCTTCCCCCTTCCAAAGATTATTGGTACCCCTTGGAGCCCAAACTCAATTCCCAAACTTCCATCTTATAAACCACACCAAAGTTTCCTAACTTTCCTATGTGGGATAAGTGTTTGGAAAATCAAATTCTTCCAT